CAAAAATGTTTGAGTGGTGGTAAAGCCAGACCGGGAGGGGGGGGTGGTGGTAAAGTGGGACACGAAGAGGCGGGGAATCTACAGCCCCCCCAGCCAGATCCAGCCCATGGGCCAGGTCTCTGTGTTTACCCCTTTTCCAGATCATTTATGAATAGGTTGAATAGGATTGGCCCGGTATGGACCCCTGCAGGACACCACTAGCTACCTCTCTCCATTCTGAAAACTGACCATTCATTCCTACCCTTTCTTTCCTGTCTTTATCAGTTCCTGATCCATGGAAGGACCTTCCCTCTTATCCCATGACAGCTTCCTTTACTGTAGAGCAGGGGTAGGGAAACTTTTTTGGGTCGGAGGCCGCTGACCCACAGAAAAATCAGTTGGGAACCACATACAAGCGAGAAACCGAACCTGCCCACAGCATTTGGGGTCATGTGCCCCCTTGTGCCCTCTTATGCATTGCCCTGGTATAGACCTCCCACTTCAGAGGGACCTAGATCCTGGTCTCCAGCCCAAGTCAAGGGTACACCACAATTTAACAGCAGTGGCCACCACCAGAGGGCTTTGAATTATAGCGTAGACCTCTCCAAAGCTACTCGGGACTTTCCAGGACCTGCTCAGCTCTTGGAAGGCGCAGGCCAATGAACAGGAGACACACTGATAAATACTCTCCGCCCATGTCAGCAGCATCTCAGGCTGCCCACACGTGGCATAGACGGGCACTGACCTGTTATGAAAATCGCCGACTCTCTCTCCTGGTTGACTCGGGGGTTCCTAACACAGCAGGACACTTTCTGGTTGGACTCTTCTGTTATAACCATGGCAATCTCTGCTCGAAACAGGCCGCCGGCCTCCGGAGTTATTTTTTCAGAGGCTGTGGGTAAGGGCTGTCCCTGGAGATCTCTCCACAGCACCTGGGGCTCTGGGTACCATCCGGATGATCGACACACCACCCGGATCCCTCCGTCCTGACGTCCCTCCACAGAGATGTCAGGAGCAGAGCCCAGACCTACAGATGAAATAAATGAACGTGTGAAAATCCTACAGTGCCCAGTGATGAGCCAAAGTCTTTATTACACTGTCAGCAAAAGCCATTTCTGAATAAATTACAACAGGGTTGAACCTCTCCAGTCTGGCACTCTTTAGTCTGGCAACATCCATGGCCCTGCATGATTTCAGTTAGTCAGATGCCCACTTGTCATGGGTGTGGCCAAGTTTCCCCGTGGTCCCGTAAAGTTTGTTTGCAGCCACCAGTCCAGCTCTCAGGGTTCTGTGCTGTTACTTAGCTCTAATTTACCCCTAAATGTCTCTAAGAGCTCAGTAAGCAGTGGGAGTGCTGGCAATGCCGCTAGACAATAGTTACCTACTGTGGTTTGGCATCTCACTCCAATTATCCCATTGAAGACATCAAAGCATCAGAACACGTTACTGACCTGCCACCTGTAGTTCCAATAATGCTTCCTCAAAAAAGACCTGGGACTCAAAAAGACAATTGTACTTCCCATCGTCGGAGGGTCGGACGTCGCGTATCCTGAGGGAAACTCTCCCACTGGCCATGTCGTCTTTCAAGAGCTCAGTCCTTCCCCGATATTCCGGGATCTGATCCCCGTACTGATCCTGCCCGTCGCGGTACAGGTGCACGACTGCAGAGAACAGGGACCGGTACCATCTCACCTCCATGTTCTCAGCGCTCATCCGGGGGAAGAGGTGGCAGGGCAGGACGGCCTCCCCACCTAGGGGGGCAGTGACTGGGCGGTCAGGTCCCGTCACTCTGAACTGTGCTGTGAAATGTACAATGCAAACCGAAAGTGAAATCGGTGAGGGGCTGGACGGCAGCATTAACTCAGCAGTTGGACACCCAGCAAGAGAGAGCCCTGTGTGAGAACTGAACACCCCAGCCCCATGCAGTGCCCTGGACAAGTCTAGGAGTGCAGAGAGTCACAGACTTGGGGGAGGGGAGCCTTGGACCTCCTCTGTGGTCTGCTCAAGGAACGCTCCCTTTGATCTCAGGCCTCCAGCCATCCCCTCTCTCTGGGCAGGGATCCATGTCCCTCCACACTGGGATTTCAGGCTTGCAGCCTCAATGCAGTTCATTGGAGTTCCCCCAGGAGGCCCAAGCAAAAACCAGCACCTGTACTTTGCTTTCCTTCCCAGCACTATGAGCAGGCTGTGCCAGCAGCTACCGGTGACCAACAGGCTCTTCCAAAGCAGAGAACACTGAAGGACAAAAGCCTGGCAGAGAACAGTTACCATAAACCAATAAGAGGTCTGAAGACGTTACACATTATCCAAAGGATTCTCCTCTGGCACACGTGACTCACTGGTGGTAGGGCCCCAAGTCATAGAATCATAGAATCCCAGGGCTGGAAGAGACCTCAGGAGTCATCGAGTCCAGCCCCCTGCCCAAAGCAGGACCAATCCCAATAAATCATCCCAGCCAGGGCTTTGGCTTCAAAACCTCTAGGGATGGAGATTCCACCTCCTCCTTAGGGAACCCATCCCAGTGCTTCCTCACCCTCCTAGGGAAATAGTTTTCCTAATATCCAACCTAGACCTCCCCCACTGCAACTTGAGATCATTGCTCCTTGTTCGACCATCCGTCACTACTGAGAACAGCCTCTCTCCATCCTCTTTGGAACCTCCCTTCAGGAAGTTGAAGGCTGTTATCAAATCCCCCCTCACTCTTCTCTTCTGCAGACTGAATAGACCCAAATCCCTCTGCCCAAAACCCTGAGTGGCTCTTCATAAGTCATGTGTTCCAGCCCCCTCATCAATGTTGATGCCCTCCACTGGACTTTCTCCAGTGCATCCACATCCCAATGTAATGGGGATCCCAAAATTGGATGCAATACACATATGCATTGAGGTGCGTGTGTGTGTGTGTGTGTTAGAGAGGGTTACAAAATATGCATTGGGGGCACGTATGTGCATGTGAAAGTCAGTGTGTGTCCTCCTGCACCTCTCTCCCTCCCAGACCCCACACTCCCACCCTCATCCTGCTCCTGCACCCTCCCTCCCACTCAGAGCCTGCCTCCCCACCTCATTTTGACTCCACCCCAGAGCCTAGGGAGGGCCCAATAAATTTACTAGCTCTAGACCCCCAGAAGACTTAATCTGGCCCAGGGGAGAAATCCCAAAGCCTCCCCGCTCATGGGGCTGGAGTGCGAGAGGAATTCTGGCACCCTGAACTGCATGAACGAGGCGAGTGTCTCTTTTTTACTGCGTTTCAGCTGGGGGCCAGGTCAGGGATGTGGTTTTTTTTTCTTCTCCCTTGTGTGTGACCTGTGACTGATTTTTATTGCGTGTGAGTGGCCCCTAACCCTAGGAAGGTCGCTCACCCCTGTGTAAAGCTGACAGGGTGTAAAGAGATGAAAGCAGATCACCACCATGCAGGTGATGGCTTTAAAGCTAAAGTCAGAGGTCAGATGAGATAGAGAAAGAGAGAGAGAGAGAAGGAAGCAGCTAGAAAAATGAAGTAAACAGAGAACCGGTCACTGAATTGCACAGCATGGGGGTGGGAGGGGTCTCAATGCAAAGATTCAGTATTAAGAGAGGGCTGGTTAAATTAACAGGATGAAAACCACAATAGGAGGGAATGGAAATGTCTGAGTCGCTGTGAAGCCAGTCCTGGGGAGGCAGGGGAAGGGGAGAGGAGCGGGACATGAAAGGGCAGTGGTGGGGAAGTGGGGAACCTACAGATCCAGCCCACGGTCTCATTTCATCCAGCCCATGGCAAGCCTCCCTTCTGCAGACCAGAAACCAAGAGTCGTGGCAACCTCTCCCCTCCCCCCCTGAGCTTACTCCCGCCTAGCTTGGCTCACCAGCATGCTCCTGGGGACCCTAGGCAGACCAAGGAACCTCCAGCACCACCTTTGCAGCTCCTGTTGCCTGGGAACCCCAGCCAATGGGAGGTGGGGGACTGGGGCACCCAGGGGAGCCGGCAGCCTGCCCCATGCAGAGCTGCCAGGCAACTCCGCCTACAGGCCAGACTTTCCAGCTGGTTTTGGGAGCAACATGGAGGCAGGGCAGGCAGGGAGCCTGACATAGACCTTCTGCAACCCTGCCTGGCAGCCCCCTTGGATAAGCACCGCACAAACCGGAGCCCCCTCTCACCTGGCAACCCTCTCCTCCAGCTCACACCACTGAAGGGGGAAGCCCTGAGCCTCTGAGCCCCGCTATGGGTCAATGGCCCCTGACAGAGAAAAGGTTCCCCACCCCTTCCCTGAGGAATGAGGAAACTGGCTGAGACCCGGCTCTGAGCCCGAATCAGCACGGTCCCAAGTGCAGCCTGGGCGACTAAGTGGGCTATTTCTTTGTAACCAGAGAGTCCAGGATTCAGGGATCTTTCACGGCTGATGAGGCCAGTGGGTGTCACGTACGGGCTGTTGGCGCAATGACCCGGAGCTGGGTCGTGTTGCTGTAAATGGCTTGAGAGCCCTGCCATGGCCCTTGCTGTATTGTGTGTTTTGGAAGCTGCTGGGGACCAGTCAGGGCTGCAGGACAGAGGCAGCGTCCACCCAGCAAGGAGGCCGGAGCACCTACCTGACCCCAGCCTGGGAGCCTGCAGAGCGAGGCAGAGCACGAGGTAGCCGGGCAGAGAGGGGCTCTCCGAGGAGCGGCGGGAGCACGAGGGAACCTTCCCCGTCATGTCGCTGGGCCTGGGAACAGGAGAAAGAAGGAGTTGGAGGGCGAGGGAGTGGCAGGCAGTAATGGCCCCGCAGGAGCTAACAACCCTCGTTGCTGCCTGGCCTACCCCAAAGGGAAGGGATCCCCCAGCAGCCCTGGTCTGCCCTGGCTCTGAGCAGGGTTAGCGGTCACCGTGGTAACACCCCAGAGCCGCCGGTGTATGTGGAGCTGTCTGGTCTAATTAGACTGTTAGAAACTCTCCAGGGCATCACCCTGACGTCATCCAGAGTAAGGGCAACTTAATGAGCTGCAGAGCTCATTCCACGAGGAGTAACGGTAGTTCGGACTAGGAAGCCTAGTCCGAACTACCTAGTTCGTGCCGCGTGTAGCCGCGCGGCAGGGGGTTCGAACGAGCAGGGATTTAAAAATGGCGGCGCCCAGTTTATGCAAATGAAGCCCGGGAAATTCAAATCCCGGGCTTCATTTGCAAGTGCAGTATGCCTACATTACCCTCCTAGTTCGAACTAGGAGGGTAGTGTAGACATACCCTCAGACTCCAACCCCAACACATAAGCTGTCCAACTCTTGGTGTCCATGGACAAGAATCAGCCTCACTATACAATGAGATAGCTCAAAGGGATTAAGAGAACTTTTGTTTCAACTCTCCAGCTCAACTGTCTAGAACAAGACAGGCAACAGACCACAAAACCCAACTAGCCTAACTAGCCTAGGACCTATTCCATGAGCTCAGCCCTGTGCTTTTTCCTTCAGGGACAGACCAAACAGCCTGTGAAGCAGGGTGGATTGATTTAAATAGCTTTGATTTAAATCTCTAATTTTAATCATGATTTAAACTGGCAAGCAGAAAACCTCGGTTTAAATGAGCAATTAATCATTTAAATTATACTTTTAAAATATTTTCCTAAAATATGATTGAGTCTTATTTATTAGCAACCTTTAAAACATGTTGATTTGCAACTAAATATAACCTTTATGCCAAATCTGGTGCTTCTATTAACTAACCAGGGGTATGTCTACACTACAA